TCTCTGTTCTGCGATTCTGCTTTGTTTTTTAATATGTATGATTTTTGGGTTTCTTTTTTGTCAAAATGATTAGATTCTGAGTCAATGATTCTGTATTCACAGTACATCCTGTGCGCTTCATCAAATGAATGTTAAGCAATTGCAAATTTGCCTGGATTGAGTCTTAAAGCGTCCTTATGTTCTTTAATTCTAGTTCCAGTTGCTCCACCCGTCTCTCTTATTATGTCAGTACCAAAAAGTGGTGACATATTGTTATGGTCTCCGATTTTTGTGATGGTGATCGGCGGTTGGCGATCGGCGGGTTGCGGTTGGTGGTCTCCGATTTTTGTGATGGTGATCGGCGGTTGGCGATCGGCGGGTTGCGGTTGGTGGTTTGTGTTGGCGTCTGTAACAAATCCTTACTACTTCCAATAACTTAACAAAAACTGTTTAGACTGACTTCAATTTTTTTCAAAATCATCTGCAAGTTTTCAGAAGTTCAAACCTGACTTGAAATTTAAGATTTGACTTTCAATGACCTTCTCAAGGTCAAAAAAGGTTAAACAGGTCAATAGATTATTTTTTCAACTTGTTTCAAATTGAACATTTTTTCCCCAAATCATCTACAAGTTCTCAAAAGTTCAAATATGACTATAGATTTGACCTTTAATGACATGACCTTCTCAGGGTCATAAGAGATTTGACCTTCAATTACCTTCTTAGGGTCAAAAAAGATATTTCTTCAACTTGCTTCAAATTGACCAATTGACCAAATTAAACTTAAGATTAAACTTATATTGTGAGCAACTAGATGGTTACATTTTGTCATGTTAATGCCTTGTATATTTCTTGGCACAATCAGAGTTTGTCTTGAGAAAGCCAAGAGGTGTTGTCGAGATAAAGGTGTTGTATAAGGTTAGTGATTTGAGGAACTTGGGCCATAATTCAAGCACATGAGCAATGAACAATTTTCTATATACTGTACCCCTTATCTCAACCTTGCACAAAATGTGATTCACTTAAATAGTGAAACTCCGTGTAAACGGGGTGCGTTCAAATAAATCTGTCTAATGGCCGGAGAATGCCGTTTTCGATAACTTCGTTTTTGATCAGAACAAGATTCAAACAGAATTCCTATAAAATTATAAATCAAATAGCCATTGCATGGACTGCTTAATTTTGTCTAAATTGATGTAGATTTCAAGTAAAAAATAAATTGTGCTAAACTATTGCATGCTATTTTTGTAAAATGTCACGCTCTGGCCGATCGCCAAAATTGTTTGATCGCATCCCTTGGGATATATGAAACTAAATGAATTCATTGCAAATGATAGCATATTTTTAGGTATTTATTAAAGAATCTGTTCCAACATACAATTTTATGTTTAGCTATTCTAGGTTGTTTGCCTGAGGTTAATATGACTTCTAAAACTAAAAATAGTAAACCATTATTATATACTTAGTAAAAAATAACACCTTTCTTTATATATCGTATTTTAAACAGAGGCGTAGTTAGGTAGATTTATCATCAATCAACCCACATATGTGGTATTTCTAAAGATTTTTTCTCGCGGTTATATGCATAGCGACAAGAGTTGTCATTTTCTACCGTTTGATGTCTGCAATATACATATATGTGTACATGTATATATATGACAGAAAATATGTAACACAACTTGCTTTTTAAGAGACTGTATCTACAGGTGTATACATGAATCGTTTTTCATCTTAAATTCTAAGTAAAGTCACTTCCATTTAATGAGGCACCAATGTTTTTGCAATATTAATCTTTTATGAAAATAGAAAATCACATGCTTGTGTCATCTTGTTCAACTCAACGTAACGTATATGTCACGCATTTAACCCAAAAATAAAACAATTACATCGGAGCTGAGGGGTGGAAAAGAAGACGGGGTGGTGTACATTCTCAAATTCATTAATCATTGGAAAATGCCATGTGTTATCCAAATGATTATATGTTGTAATATGATTATGTTTTATTTCCACCGCAACATCAGTTCATGACTACAAATATCACGAGAATCGGATAAGCAATGTAATCGTATCATTATTTATTTTCAACTTATTAGTTCTTGATCATGTTTGTATCATGGGTCCAATTCATTTTAACTTATCCTTAATGCAAGGTTTAGGTCGGTTTTCTATCTTAAGTCACTAGGAGGACAACCGCTCTCATTTACCTAGAATTTACCCACATTTAACTGCACCCGTTGAGAAAAACTGTTAATATGGAAAGTGGGTGACACTATTTATATTGTGTAAAGAAGGCATCGCCAAAAGAGCCGTCTCTACGAAACTAAGAATGTATCGCCAGTGTGAAAACGTGAGTGGTACTACTGAGAGATTACCTAATATACTAGCCCGGGATGACCAAATCTTCATCAACTTGATCCAAACTATCGTACGTAGGTCGGTTAAGGGAGTGTGGCAAAGATCCATCCGAATCTTAATCACGGTCAAAGGCCGTGTAAAATGGCCTTTGAGGGAACCAAAAAACGAATGCAATTATCAAAAATCTAAACTTTTGTTTCTGAAATTCAAACATTTGAAAACTTTAAGATGAATAACTTTTTTAAGAGTTACATTTTCAAATGAAATAGTACCGTGGGTACTGGGCTCATATGGTGTTACTCAAAAGTGAATGATGGCTAAAATGGAAAAAAAACGGATACAATTTTTTGCCGATTTTTGTTTATTTCATTATTATTATTTCATATAACTACTCTTTACACCTACGTGGACTTTTATTAATAAGCTAGGAAATAAGTGAATTTCGCAAGACAAAAATGGAAATTTTAAAAATAGGCGAGCTTTTGAACCAGGAGTCATAGGGGGTTCTCTGTATTGATGTTGAACAAAAATAACTAATAACTCAATTAAGGAAAATGGTCCAAACGTGAATTTCGCGACACAGATAGACAAATCAATGTTAAATAAATGGCTGAAAAAATGATATAATTTTTTGCCGATTTTTATAACAAAATCATTTCATAGAACTACTCTACAGTGACATGGCTTTTTACAATGCATAACAATGCATTATTTGTAAAGCTAGAATATGGACCAAAAGTGAATTTCGCGAGACAAAAATGGCAACCATTTTGAAAATAGGCGAACTTTTGAACCAGGAGTCACAGGGGGGTTTTCTGTATTAATGTTGAACAAAAATAAATTAAAACAGGAATCCTATCGATAGAAGTTTTAAGGCAAAAGGTCCAAAAGTGGATTTCGCGAGACAGATGTACAAATGTTAACTGAAATGGCTGAAAATAAAAAAAAAATGATATAATTTTTGTAACAAAATTAAATCATACAACTACTTTTTACAGTGACATGGCTTTTTACAATGCAAGACACCTGGAATTATTTGTAAAGCTAGGAAATGGGCCAAAAGTGAATTTCGGGAGGCAAAAATGGCGACCATTTTGAAAATAGGCTAATTTTTGAACTAGGAGTTATAGGGAAGTTTTTTGTATTGATGTTGTTCAAATAACTTAAAATGGGAATACTATCGACAAAAGTTTAAGAGCAAATGGTCCAAAAATGAATTTTACGAGACAAAAATGGCGGCCATTTTGAAAATAAGCGAGCTTTTGAACCAGAAGTCATGGGGGGGTTTTCTATATCGATGTTGGACAAAAATAACTTCAAACAGGAATCCTATTGACAGAGGTTTTAAAACGGGCCAATTGTTGACAGACAGACGGACAAGTGAGTGATTGCAATAGCTCATCATGTCTAAAAATGTCTCAAGTAGTTTTTCACGTGATAAAAAGTTACATTTGTAAGATTAAACTATATTATCAAACTTTGCACGGGATCTTTAAGGGTCATTGTGTTATAGTGCGAATATGTTTTATCCAGGCGTTTGGGCCTTCTTTTCATGAATAGGATTAAGTTCAACGTCTTGTATCAAATATCGTCGGTAACGCCACCATCGTGCCCCGGTGATGTAACTATTGGTTTAATATGCAAGTCAAAAATTCAGGACAAATGTCACTATGATATATTTGTTAGTACCTCAGTGTAAATATTTGCATCTGATTAGTCAATTAGCGGTCAACATTTTTGCCTGTACCCCACCTGTGCATCATGGTAAACGTTGATGAAAGTGATATTTTATAGACGACAAGTATCGCAAAAATACGCGTAGTGAATTTTTTCAGAAATTGTCAACATATGAAGTGGTAGCTAAACTTTATTTTCGGCACATCACTACGTACTCATTAAGTATAACTTATTAATTTCATGTATCTCATCGTATTTTTGCGATTCTTGTGTCTTTCATAAACTGTAAACCTTGAAACTACTGTAGTTTCTCGGTTTACAGTCTTGGTATACAATTTTGAAGGTTGACCTCTCCAGAGGTATTGTATAATGTATTTAGGGGTCGACTCGATAGGAATACCAGAATCAGGTGGGGACAGAATATATCATGGCCCTCATTTTTTCTCGATGCGGATTGAAGTTGTGCAATTCTACACTAACTAGCCTAACTGAACGTTGGTCTAGTCAGAACATTTCGATTTTCTAGTTTTAAGGTTATTATGTTCATTCGAGATAAATAAATTCTTTTAAAGTTGTTTTTAAAAATGATCACAAAATATGTAAAAGGAGTCTTTCTCAAGAATAACATAGAAATTACTTTCTCGCTTGGAGTAGCAGGACCCGTGCATGGTGATGTATACAGTTCCTCTATAAATGACAATATATATAAGTGCAATATCAATCGATGCGCATTAAAATGTGCTGAAAATCCCAAGTTTAAATGACGGATGAGTGTATGTACAGCCATAAATATACGAAGGTGCATGTCAAGTCATCGTAAACGCAACTTCCAAACCACATCATATTTCAACCCATAAATAGCCTATTAACCGACTTTCATTCGATAGGAATAATGAGAATGTAACAACTACGCACTTTGACCCAACTCTACAATTTTACATAAATCACGCATACTTATACCATCAGACCTAATACATAGTTTTTAGACTCACCGTCATCGGGGTAGGGTAGCGTCAGGACGGTTTCATAACAAGCTTGTTTGGCTGCTTCCATAGCAGCCTCGATTGGGGACATTGTTGCTTGCGGCAATGTTACTGCAATACTTTCAATTACAGCTGTTTTTGATGTTCCAACAATCATATAATCCCTTATCAAAGTATTCGTCCAGTTTCCATTTTCTTGTAGACTAACGTCATTGCGATTTACTGTATCTTTCGATCTTTGAAATGCCTCCTGCAAAACACATTTAGCAATATGCGAATTAGCCTACATTTGATATCCTGGACATTTGATTAAAATCACCTCTCTGGGAGTACTTACTGATGGATACTGAAGCTCTAAATCCAAGTTAGTACGACATGCTTCTCCTCAGAAGAGCGGTAAAATCAATTTAATTCTTAATACATTGAGACTTGTGTTGTTAAGCTCTGTTCTCAGTGGATCACTAAAAGATATCTATGAAATCCCAATGTCTGAGTATATATCTTGTTTTTATAAAGTACGCTAATTGTAGAGTACATAGGCGATTCACTCTGATATAGTTCGAATGAAAGTCATGTATTTATAGAAATTATAATGTGTGACGACGATACTGTTTGTACTTTACTTTGATGCGTCAAAATGATATAAACGGCTATCAATAAACGCTTCGATGGAGAATACGTTTTTTTTAATCTGCGAATCATAATTATAAAATCATAATTTATATTGACGTAAACAAAGCCAAACACAACATTAATTGCGAATTACTAAATGCTATTAACCCTTGAATGATAGCAACTAAAGATCATTATCATTATTGACCATTGTAAAAAGTATGTATCACGTCAAATACAAATTAGACCTTAGACCCTGCAACAACATTTTCTCAGTTGAATGCCTTAACAGCACGATTGAGAACCACAATAGTGCTTCATTGTACAAGGGTCGGTCAATATATTCTGATAAAAATGCTCTCCTTTTGTGATTTTTCATGTATCCCTTTCATTTTTTCAGAATGTATTTCAATGCTGAAATATTGCTATATCTTAAATTGATTTCGAGATAAGGTTGCCATGGTAACCTTTATTTAGGGTAGGCAGGTCAGTTAAATTATAACGTATAAAATAGTTCAATTTTCCATCATTCCTCGGTACCTATATTTTAAGCAGATCAAATGCATCTTCAGGTCATTGGCAACTAATCGTTGAACTGTTTCATACCCCATGTTGCCCCTATTTGCCCATTTCCACAGTGCCGTGGAATAGTTCTCTCTTCATAAATTGCATCTCAAATTATCTTAGTGTTATTCTCTGCCCACAAGCTCTTCTTGCAACCAGACCGTGGATGATCTTCAGCAGTGACAACACCTTCCTCAGGTTTAAAGTACGACCTATAGATTATTGGATCGGAGCAGGTATAACACCTAGCCCAAACACCCTATGAATCCATGTATGTCTCTGATTGTGTCTTGTAACTTTTCTTGATAGTACACAAAATCTAAAGGTACTCCTGATGTATCTGTTAATGTCACAATCTGCATCGGCCGAACTAGCCTAATCTAACATTTTGTTTTTTGGTGTGTCTCATGACATGTTATGTCAATTATCCTATTCTCTCATATATTGCTATTTTGAGCTATTGTGATGTTAGTGAGCACAAATAAACATTTATACAAGAAACAATACGAAACTTTTTGAATAAAAGGTATGATTTCCGCATGCTTTAAAATAATTAGAATAATAAAATTATGATATTTTATAGGTTATAATTTAATTGACCTGCCTACCCTTAATACACGTTACCATGGCAACCTTATATCCTCTAAATTAATTTAAGACATAGCTATAAAATTTCAGCATTGTCTGTGTAATTATACATTAATCTATATGTTCTGAAAGAATGAGAGGGCTATGTGAAAAAATCACAGAATGAGAGCATTTTTATCAGAATTTATGGATCGCCCCTTGTTTATCCAAATAAACAGATGCGTATCTTATAATAAATCTATTGATACAAGTACCATTTTGCGTCGAAATTAAACTAATATTCTGTTTACACACTACCCCACCTCCATACTGTAACCTGTATGAAAAAGAAACATGCTTCAGTGAAGTTTCAAATGGCAACTTGCCTGTATCCCTTTTAAATAAATACAGGCTACAGTATGGGGGTAGGGCACTGTTGTGCACAAAAACAAACACATTTGAGAGTGTACAAGCTATCGTGATGCCACATAGAATAAATTAATATAAGCAGTTAAATAGAAATACGGGACCCTAAGATTTTGATTGACAGCAAGGCTAATTAATTTTTAGCTTTCTATATTTAGAAGCATGTAATTGATTAATCATGTCAATGGTTGTATCTACAAGCTGAACATTATCAATTATATATGCTGGCGAATGGTCTCATCAAATTACTTACTACCCGCAGTACACTGTTGCTCATATTTATGGATTATAAGGAATTTCAAAGAAATCAGAATACAGTTGTTTGTCCAAAAGTAGGCAAAGATATCTTTCTAGAATTCCAAGTTAAGATAATTATTCATTTCAGAAAACCTGGTCTTTTTGGCATTTAACAAATATGGATTATGACGGGTTTAATTCCTCGGAAATGCATGTCCAGCTGTACGTGTACTAAAAATTGAAAAAACTAAATTTGGAAAGTTTCCATTGAGAAACTGAAACATATCCCATACGTATGAGCAACGGTGTATAAATCACGAATACATCGTAGCTTAGATTGTTACGCGGTAAACACGATACAAAAATATGTCATATTCCGCAACGAATATGGCATATTCACTTGCGGTGTATGACAGATTCACCTGCGGTGTATGGCATACAAACTAACCAATGAGAACGTGATACGGAAGTACGCAATTGTCAATTGCATCGATTGAACGAAATAGTAAAACGTTATTAGACTCCAGATTTCATCTGGAGTCTATTGCTTTTGCCAGTTTTCTTATTAGACTCCAGATTGAAAATCTGGAGTCTATTGTTTTTGCCAGTATTCTTTTTATTATTATTATTATTATTATTATTATTATTCTTTGGGAGTTTTTTCAATAACTATTAGGTATCCAGTAAGGACCATAATACAGTTCATTTAGGTTCAGTATCTAGTTGGTGGGAAATTGGGTCAAATTTTTATCTAGGTCAAAGGTCAAGAACTAGGTCAAATCCAGTACTTTGTCACTTTTTTCGATTTTCTCGGTTGTCCTTCAATATTTTCGATCCGGGTTTTTTTCATTGTGTTCCTTATAAAAAAGTAGGAAACCTAGGGTCGATTTAGTTTTTTGATATCTCAAACTGATTTCGAGATATCAGTGTCCGAAAACGAGGTCCAAAAAAAAGTTCTCCGAATCTAATGTCCAGATATTAGTCTTATAGAAAATTTTCTCAGGATTCCGAATCTGAAAACGAAATTTAGATCAGACTTCCGGTTCTGAAGTTATGGCGTTTTGAAAGCTCAAAAATCGCTAAATTTTGAGCCCATGTTAAGTCAATGGGAAAAGAGATTTTTTTGAAGTGAAAAATACGAAATATAGACTAAGTTCAGCTCAATATAATGAAAGCTTTTAAAAGAATGGGACCTCAAAAGCCATCTAGCTTTAAAATTTGGACACCAAAATGCCTAGGTCAAAATCTAGGTCAAATTCAAAGTTTTTTCTTATTTTTGCGATTCTGACACTACACTTTAATTACATTCTTCGAAATTGTGTATACATGTAGCAAAGAGTGTGCTAATAGCGTTAGCCTTTTGCCGTCAGAAAGAATTTTGACCCACTTTTGAGATATGGTGTCCGAAAAGTAGGTCAAAATAAAAAGTTCTCCAAATTTAACGTTTGAGTTATGAATTAAGAATAGAATTTTCTCAGAAATCCGAATCTGCAAACCAAATTTCGTTCCAACTTCCGGTTCCGAAGTTATGGCGTGTCCAAAAAGTAGGTCAAAATAAAAATTCGCCAAATTTAATGTATGAGTTATGAATTAGGGGTAGAATTTTGTCAGGAATCCGAATCTTTAAATCAAATTTAGATCCGACTTCCGATTCGGAAGTTATGGCGTTTTGAAATTTCGGAAAATCGATCTGATGGTATCCTGATAGAAAGTCAAGAGTAGAGAAGAAAATATTGAAAAATTCATCCATCCTTCCTATCTGATCCTATCTTATCCTATCCTATCTTTCCTTCGTATCCTTTCCTTCCTATCCTTCCTATCCTCTCCTATCATATCCTTTCTTCCTATTCTGTTCTATCCTATCCTTCTTTCTTATTCTATCCTATCGTTCCTTCCCATTCTATCCTATCCTACCTTCCTGTTTTATCCATCCATCTTATTCTGGATGACTCAGCTTATTCTGGATGACTCGGCTTATTTTAGATGACTGGGCTTAAAAAAGTCTGGATCTGGAGTCTGAAATTGAACTTCGTTCAATTTCCCAAGTCTAGTTATTATTATTAGACTCCAGATTGAAAATCTGGAGTCTATTGCTTTTGCCAGTTTTCTTATTATTCTTTCTTTCCGCGTTTTCTCAGCAACTAGAGGGACTTTCTGAAATCTGCTTACATAGTTAAAAAGGTAATGAGACCTAGTTTCCCGGAAATTAGGTCAAATTTTTATCTAGGTCAAAGGTCAAAATCTAGGTCAAATTATCATTTTGTGAATTATCTTTGTCATTTTTCAATATTTTTTCAAAATTTTTTTTTTAACGTGTAGCCAAGAAAAAGACGATTCGACAATGAGTTATCAGTTTTTTGATTACTTCTACCGAATTTGAGATATTGCGTCCGGAAAGTAGGTCAAACGAAAAAGTTCTCCAAATTCAACGTATGAGTCATGAAATAAGTGTAAAATTTCCTCAGGAATCCAAATCTGCAAACCAAAATTTGATCCGACTTCCGGTTCGGAAGCTATAGCGTTTTGAAATCGCTAAATTTGGTGCCCATGTTAAGCCAATGGGAAAAAAGACTTTTTCGAAGTGTAAAATACAAGATATAGACTGAGCACAGCTTAACATAATGAATGCCTATAAAAGAAGGGGACCTCAAAAGCTACCTAGCTTCAAAATTTGGACACCAAAATGCCTAGGTCAAAATCTAGGTCAAATTCATAGTTTTTCCTTATTTTTACGATTCTGACACTACACTTTAATAATTTGCTTCAAAATTTTGTATACAGGTAGCAAAGAGTGTACTAATAGTGTTAGCCTTTTGCCGTCAGAAAGTATTTTGACCCACTTTT